TAACAAGCTAGTTTTTCTAGGATTTGTTGTTCGTGAGCAGGGAATTCAAATGGATGAAGAAAAAGTTGCAGCAATCAAGAATTGGCCAAGCCCGAAGACGGTGAGTGATGTAAGGAGTTTCCATGGACTTGCAAGCTTCTATCGGCGCTTTGTGAAAGATTTCAGCACCATTGCTGCACCATTGACGGAAATCATCAAGAAAAACGTTGGATTCCAATGGAACGAAGCTCAAGAAACAGCATTTCAACTCTTGAAAGGGAAGCTTACTGACTCTCCTCTTTTATCTCTTCCAGACTTTTCCAAAGCTTTTGAGATTGAATGTGATGCTTCTGGCGTAGGTATTGGAGCTGTGCTGATGCAAGAAAGAAGGCCAATTGCGTACTTTAGTGAAAAGTTGAATGGAGCTCCGTTGAACTACCCAACATATGACAAAGAGTTGTATGCATTGGTGAGGGCGCCTGCTCACTAACAACAAATCCTAGAAAAACTAGCCTGTTAGTGCAAAATGTGCATTTCTTGAGATTCGCGAATAGTTTTTCCTTCCTTAAAACTTCTAGGACAAATTTGAGATGTTCAACATGCTCCTCTATATTCTTGCTGTAAACTAAGATATCATCAAAGTAAACAACCACAAATCTACCAATGAATTGCCTTAGAACATGGTTCATCAATCTCATGAACGTGCTGGGTGCATTGGTCAAGCCAAATGGCATAACTAACCATTCATACAAGCCATGTTTCGTTTTGAATGCTGTTTTCCATTCATCACCATCTTTCATTCGTATTTGATGATAACCACTTTTAAGATCTATCTTAGAAAAGACACGTGATCCATGCAATTCATCCAACATATCATCCAATCGAGGTATGGGATGGCGATACTTTACCGTAATATTGTTGATTGCATGACAATCAACACACATATGCCACATACCGTCTTTCTTTGGAACTAGGATGACTGGAACAACACAAGGTGACATACTTTCACGAACATAACCTTTCTCCATCAGTTCTGTGACTTGTCTTTGGAGCTCTTTTGTTTCCTCAGGATTTGTTCGGTATGCAGCCTTGTTTGGAAGGCTAGCTCCAGGAACAAGGTCGATTTGATGTTCAATCCCTCGAATAGGTGGTAATCCATGTGGAAGCTCTTCAGGAAAAACATCATCATACACCTGCAAGAGATCAAAAACCACACTAGGCAAAGACGATGTGAGTTCGTTAGTATTCAAAAGAGCCTCTTTGTACATAAGTACAATCATTGGCTGTCGAGAAAGTAATGCTTTCTTGATCTCACTCGCTCTCATAAAGAAATTGGTATTTTTCCTCTCGGGTGTACTCTCACAAGTCTTTTTCTGGGTTTTTCTCAAGGCCTCACTAGATTTTGAGTGATCTACCTCATGGTCACACATGTTGATTGGTTTCTTCTCATTCTTCATCATTTTGAGTTGATCTTCAAAAACCTCCTTCGGTGTCAAAGGTACAAGTCGAATGGGTTTACCTTTGAACTCAAATGAATACTTATTGCTGTAGCCATCGTGTTGAGCTTTAGTATCAAATTGCCATGGTCTACCAAGCAACAAATGCCCCGCTTGCATAGGGACTACATCACAAAGCGCCTCGTCTTTGTATTTGCCAATACAAAATGGCACACTCACTTGTCTATGCACCTTCGTTTCTCCGCTGTCATTGAGCCATTGTAAACGGTACGGTTTCGGGTGTCTTGTTGTTTTCAACCCCAACTTCTCTACCAACAACGTACTTGCTACGTTTGTACAGCTACCCCATCAATGATGATACTACACACTTTATCTTTGACAACCCCCCTTGTGTA